ACATGGGGCTGGAGAGATAATACAGCAGGTAAAGCACTGACCTTGCACGGAGCTGACCCAGGTTCCATTCCTGGCACCGCATATGGTCCTGCTCTGCCAGGAGCACTGAGGCAGGAGTAACCCCCAAGTATCATTATCTGTGGCCCCCAAACAATGATAACCAAAAAAGCAAAAAAGGGAAAAAGAGAAGATGGGAGCATGGTGGAAACAGGAAGCTGCCATTCCTTCCAGTTAGCCAGAAAACTGGGACTGCCCAGGCTGAGCCCCTGTGTCCACAGCCCCCTGCCTTCCTCCCTGGGCAGAGTGCAGTTCCCTCCATTCTCTCCACTCTTGGCCATCAGCAACTCCTGTGCAGGGGAAGAACAGGGAGGCCTGGCAGGGCTGGCATCCAGCTCGGCTCCTGGAGCTGTGTTTGATTCTCCAGCTCTCGTGCTCCCTGAGTGCTTCCTGTGGGGCAAGTGTGGCTTGAGGTGGGCACGAGCTCAGTGCTGGGTCCCAGCGTCGCTGGCACGTGGCTCTCTGTGTATCTGCAGTGCCAGCCAACGAAAGCATGGAGCTCAAGCACTTTGTTCAGAGCCATGGCAGGAGGGTCCTGGGAGGCTTCAGAACCAGCAGTGTACCCTTCCCCCAAGGCATTCAGATTTGCTCTTCCCCCCACCCCCCTTAGACCCGCCTCAGGCTCCTGGTGCTTTACCCGTGGATAAAACAGTCAGATATATAACTACGCCTTGCTGATGAAAAGGTGGGTGCTGTGGAGGGAGAGCAGCACCCCCGGTGACGGACCGAGCGGACCGAGGGACAGCAGTGAATAAATAAAGTTATCCCAAACAACCACCTGTTCGTGTCAGCTGATGCACAGAGACACGGAAGGCATCAGGTAAAGGCCTGGGTCCACAGGGATGACCGGGCAGCCGTGTGATGGCACCGCCCAAATCCAGTGTCAACTGGTGTCAACCGGGGCCTTGAGCTAGACCAGATCCGAGATGCCGCTCCACTCTGCACCCCAGGCTCTGACGCCCTCTCCGGGCTCTGCGGAAGTTCCCAGGGCTCTGACACAGTCGAGGGACCCCATGCCCCGGCAGCCAGACCTCTGTGAAGGAATTGGGGGCTTCCCGCTGCTGTTTCCCAGCCAGCTCTTCTCTGAGTCTGTCTCTGGTGGATTTGTAACTCCCCTGGCTGCAGTGCTGAATAAGCTGCATCCACCCAGCACTCCTTCCCCCCATGGGCCCCCCAATAAAATTATTCCATGCAACAGGCTTGAGAGTGGTTCCGAGGAACCTCTCCACTTTGGAGACCTGAACCTCCAGGACAATCAGACCTGGTGGCAGGAAGCCCACGTCCCCAAGGTTTCTCAGTCAGCGGGGAGAGGATGAGAGCACCAGGCTCGATGATGTCAGCATCTGTGGAATCAGACTGTCCCTGTGCAAGAGCTGAGATGTTAGTGTGGCCCAAAGGATGGGCACGGAGAGGCCACCTGCCAGCAAGGTCTTGCCCGCTCAGCTGCCACTTTGCAATAAGGCAGCGGAGAAGTCCCCGGGGGAGAAGCGGGGAGGAATTATGGACCTGATGCCTGACAGCAAAATGGGGGGGGGGGGAGCGGAGGGGGGCAGCCGAGTGGTCAAATGGCCATCTTCCTGGAGATGTCCCCAGGTGCTTCCTGGCACAGCTGACTGACCTTTAGGTATGATCTCTCTGTTTCACTTTTTCTTTCAACTGAACCACCAAGAGACACACTTTTTAAAAATTTTTGGGTCACACCTGGTGATGCACAGGGGTTACTCCTGGCTTTGCACTTAGGAATTACTCCTGGTGGTACTCAGGGGACCATATGGTATGCTGGAAATTGAACCCGGGTCAGCTACATGCAAGGCAAATACCCTACCTGCTCCACACTGCTACAAAGTTGTTCATGATTGGGTTTCAGTCATACAGTATTCCAACACTCATCTCTCCACCAGTGTACATTTTCCACCATCAGTGACCCCAGGTTCCCCCCTGCCCCACTCCCCCCAGCCCATCTCTGTGGCCGGCTCTTTCTTTCCTTCTCTCTCTCTCTCTCTCTCTCTCTCTTTCTCTCTCTCTCTCTTTCTCTCCCTCCCTCTTCTTTTGGGCATTATGATTGACAGATAGGGGTTGTTCCTTTACCTCCTTTCAGCACGCAGTTCTTATCTGATCATTCCTAACTGTCTTTGTCATGGTCCCTTCTCTATCCCAACGCCTCCCCCCAGCACCTGAGGCAGGCTTCCAATACTGAAAGCAGCAGTATCAAAAAAGAATTTACTTACAAAGGAGTATCCTTAAGATTCTATTTCACCTTTTATCACTTCTGTTCAATATAGTACTGGAAGTACTCGCAACAGCAATTAGGCAAGAAAAAGACATTAAAGGCATCCAGATAGGAAAGGAAGAAATCAAGCTCTCACTATTCGCAGACGATATAATACTATATCTTGAGAATGCTAAATCCTCTACCAAGAAACTCCTAGAAACAATAGACTTGTACAGTACAGTCACAGGCTATAAAATTAATACCCCTAAAATCCATGGCCTTCCTATACGCAAAAAATAAGACAGAGAAAAGTGACATGAAAAAAACAATCTCGTTCACAATCGTGCCTCAGAAAATCAAATACCTCAGAATCAGCCTAACTAAAGAGGTAAAGGACCTCTACAACAAAACTACAAAACGCTACTCCATGAAATAAAAGAGGACACCAGGAAATGGAAACATATCCCCTGCTCACGGATAGGAAGAATTAACATTGTCAAAATGGCAATATTCTCCAAAGCATTATCAGATTCAATGTGATCCCTATAAGAATACCCATGAAATTCTTCAAAGAAAAAAATCAAGCACTCCTGAAATTCATATGGAATAACAAACGCCCATGAATAGCTAAAGCAATTCTTGGGAAAAAGACATGGGGAGGCATTACCCTCATTAACATCAAACTCTACTACAAAGTGGTAATAATTAAAACAGCATGGTACTGGAACAAAGGCAGGGCTGCAGACCAATGAAACAATGTGGAATATCCGTATACAAAACCCCAAAAGTATGAATATCTAATCTTTGATAAGGGAGCAAGAAATGTGAAGTGGAGCAAGGAAAGCCTCTTCAACAAATGGTGCTGGCATAACTGGACAACCACATGCAAAAAAAATGGGTTCAGACCTCGACCTAACACCATGCACAAAAGTCAGATCAAAATGGATTAAAGATCTCAACATCAGGCCAAAATCCATAAGGTACATTGAAGACAAGGTCGGCAAAAACCTCCATGATATTGAGGCTAATGGTATCTTCAGAGATGACACTCCACTGACCAACCAAGTGGAAACAGAGATATCTGTACACACAACCCCAAATGGGACTATCTTAAACTAAGAAACTTCTGCACTTCCAGAGATACAGTGACCAGAATGCAGAGACAATCTACAGAGTTGGAAAGGATATTCAACCAATACCCATCTGATAAGGGGTTGATACCAAGGATATACAAAGCACTGGTTGAATTCCACAAGAAGAAAACATCACACCCCATCAAAAAATGCAGTGATGAAATGAACAGAAACTTTCTCAAAGAAGAAATCTGAATGGCAAAAAGGCATATGAGAAAATGCTCTACATCACTAATCATCAGGGAGATGCAGATCAAAACCACAATGAGATATCATCTCACACCACAGAGACTGGCCCACATCGAAAAGAACAAAAGCAACCAGTGTTGGCGTGGATGTGGAGAGAAAGGGACCCTCCTTCACTGCTGGTGAGAATGCCGACTGGCTCAGCCCTTTTGGAAAACAGTATGGACGATTCTCAAAAAATTAGAAATTGAGCTCCCATTTGACCCAGCAATACCACTCCTGGGAATATATCCCAGAGAGGCAAAAAAGTATAGCTGAAATGACGTCTGCACTGTTCACAACAGCCAAACTCTGGAAAAAACCCAAGTGCCCGAGAAGAGGTGACTGGTTAAAGAAATATTGGTATATCCATCTACACAATGGAGTACTGTGTAGCTGTTAGAAAAGATGAAGTCATGAAATTTACATACAAGTGGTACAACATGGAAAGTATCATGCTAAGTGAAATGAGTCAGAAAGAGAGGGACAGACATAGAAAGATTGCATTCATCTGTGGAATATAAAGTAACTAAATAGGAGACTAACACCCAAGAATAGTCGAGATAAGTACCAGGAGGTTTGCTCCATGGCTTGGAGGCCAGCCGCACATGCTAGGAGAAAAGGCAGCTCAGATAGAGAAGGGAGCACCAAGTAAAGGGTGTTGGGAGGATCCTCCCAGGAGGGGAGATGCATGCTGAAAGTAGACTATAGACCGAACATGATTGCCAATCAATTCCTCTTTTGCAAACCACAGCACCCCAAAGAAGAGAGAGAACAGGATGGAATGTCCTGCCACAGAGGCAGGGTGGGGTGGGGGGGATGAGGGGTGGGAGGGATACTGGGATCCGTGGTGGTGGAAAATGGGCACTGGTGGAGGGATGGGTACTCGATCATTGCATAACTGAAACCCGAGCACAAAAATTTGTAAGTCTACAACTGTACCTCATGGTATTTCACTAATAAATTTTTTTTAAAAAGATTCTATTTCACCTTTTAAATGCATACATTATTCCACCCCCCCACCCCCACCCCCCCCACTGAATGGGCCATAACTGGCATCTCTGACCCCATCCTACCAGGGTGATGTTGGCAATCTCCTCCCACAAATGAACCAGAGGCCTCCTCCCCCACCCCCACCCCTCCCTGAGGCACACACCCAGAACTATGGCCAGAGGCTCTGCCACAGTACCAGAGGTGAGCAGTGTAAGATGGCCTACAGGTGAGGCCTTAAGGGCGGTGAACAGACCTTCTGTCACCTGGACACTCTCAGGATGCCACAGGTGGGTGACCTGGTGACTGAAAATGAATCGTCTTGCACCTGTGATGACCCCCAACCCATGAAGGACAGCGACCGTATAAGGAACACTAGTTACCTGCAGCGTCACACTCTCTGGCCAGTTGAAGATCTGCAGATTGAAGATCTGTCCAAAGTGCACACGGAAGTCTGCCCCGAGGGGCTGGCTGTCAGTCCTGGACACCTCCTTGTTGTTGAAGAGCACCTTCAAGTACACCGAGCGCCTCTTGACGTCCTCTCTGCGTGCCACCTCCACTCTGCATGGGTCACCATGGACAGAAGGGTGAAGGCGGTTTGCTTAGGCTGAACCGAGCTACTGAAAAATAGCACTGAGAAGAACTAGATGAGTGTGCAAGCAAGTCTGATGAGTGTGCGAGCAAGCCTGTCACCTGGGGACCAGCCTCCCAGGCCCAGTGTAATAAAAGACATGGTGATGAAGTGAGGGGACTTAAGGGACTTATGTCGGAGGACCACCATATGATGCTCTCTAATTTTTTTACACAAGCCTGACATTTGCACCCAAAGTTTAAGGCAATAGAAACACTATACTTGAGACAGGGAGGGAATTCAAATCACAGTGGGAGGGATTTACATCTGGATAAGACATTTTATTCTGAGTATTAGAGTGGCTTGGGCAAGTTTGCTTCTCAAGATCTGAACTTTTCCTTAACATTTTCTGATGGTGAGTGAGCCTGACTGGATATAACAAATTGAAAAATTATGTTTCCTGTTTTTCCAGAATAATATTAAAATTTTTAAAATTATGACCTATTTTTATGTTTTAAATTCTCATACAATAAATTATGAGATTTAAAAAAAATTCATTTATTTTTGGCAAAGCAGCTCTCTGATTTAAAACATGTGGCGGGTCATATAATAATCACTGCGCTGGGGGCACTCAGCAGGGGCTCACCCTAAAAGCCTCCAGTGCCTTTATAATTGTGCCCTAATGATACTTTATAATTCCACTCTTATCCCAAAATGGTCCCTGGAAGCGAATCTGTTCTCCATTACTTTAGTTTGGTCTTGAGATTGGTCCTTGTTTTTAAAGATCATTTTTAATACTAACAAAAGGCATCCTGGCATGAATGTCACTCTTATAAGCCAGGAAATTCAAGTCTCTGAGGGTGGGCTTTAATCTCACTGTATTTGCGATGCTTACCTAGTGAGGTAAATAGCCCCCCAAGTATGTGAAGGAAAGGGAAAGTTTAGAGTAGAAAATGCAAACCCTCTGGGGTTTTGGGTATCCGGCATTTTCTCCATGCTGTGGTAGCTGCACACCATACACTGTTTTAACACTATTTTAAGTGTACATTTCTGTGATACTGAGGACATTTACAGTGTTGTGCAACTATCTCTACTTCTCATCTCAAGGACAAATTCTGTGCCAAGCAAATTGCACTGGGAGAACTAACATTTTCATATCTCTGCCACCGACACAGTCCAACCAGAAACTTGCTCAAATCATGGGATTATTTTTTTTCCATTAAGGATATTTCGCCCCAAACTTCAAGAAAACTCCACTCAGAGTTGTCTTCGGGCTGATTCCCAGAAAATTCACACCACAGACAGATTTTCAAACACCCGTCTTTTCTGCACACCCCCCACGATGGCCTCATAAAGAAGGTCAATGAGAACCACAGACTTGGGAACAGCCCCAGTAGAACCCCAAACCCACTGAAAACTCAGCAACTTCAGCCTGAGTTTACGTGCTTAGGGAACAGGGACTCGCCACAAAAGATGGTCAAACACATCTAAACTTCCATTTAAGAAGACATGCTTTCTGATCACATATTCTGAATGTCCATTAAAGAAATTATGTGGATTGGTACCTCAGACCTGAAAAATAGCTCATTTAGTGTCAGGGATTAGTTCTACGGGGCATCTGAATGCTATGGAATTGAGAAGATACCAACATCACAGCTACTGTTATTAAATAACTTACAAGGAGCTGGAGAGACAATATATGGGGCAGGATTCTTGCCTTGGATGCCACTGGATTCCTGGCATCCCATATGCCGCCCTGACCCCACAGTCCCCCAGGAACCATTCCTGAACACAGAGCTAGAAGTAACCCCTGAGCACTGCTGGGTATGGCCCCCAAATAACCCCCCCAAAATTGTTAGTTCATTAAAGTAAGTTTGAAACGAAGAAGGAGCAGGAAGCTTTACGGTGGCATTCGCACTAGCCCCATATCCCCTCTGCCTACGAGGATAACTGACTCCAGTGAATTCCCACTTTCATGTTGGAATACTCGGTCTAAGATGTTCCCTTTTTTCTTGACAGGTTTGCTGGAGAGTTTAGTCTGGGATCCACTAGCAGCAAATTAAAGTAAAATTTTTCATTCCTGGGTTTTCAGACCACACCTGGTAGTGCTTTGGAATCACTCCTGGCTGTTCATATGAGGAATCATATGTGGTGCTGGGAACAAACTGGGCAAGGCATATGGCTTAAGCCCCCCCCCCCAACCCAGCTCCAGTAGCAATTATGTTAAAGGTTCCCAGTGACAGATTGAGGCTGCAGCACCAATCAGAAGCACAGAAAATGTTTGTGGGAACAGTCTCCAACCCAGAGGTTCTGATTTTATGTTTCTCAGGTAGGATGTGAAAGTTTGCATTTCTGATTCTGCACTTCTCAGGTAGGATGTAAAAGTTGGCTCTGTGGGGTGGAGTAACCCCAGAAATGCTGGGAGAGGGGTTGGGAGCTGGTATGAGGGGGCATGAGATGCCAGAGATCAAATTTGGGGCCTTGTACATCCTTTTGCGCCCTCTCCTGCCAAGAATTTGCATTTCTGATGAGTTCCCAGGCTAGACCTGGGACCTCACTGGGAGAACTATCTTCCTAAGATGAGGAAATAAACAAGAATTTAAAATAAGGGTCGAGGGAGAGAACAGAATGGGTTGGAGAGCTATGTGGGGTTCCCCAGCACTAAAGAACCATCCACCTCCACTCAGCACCTACTGGAGTGGCCCCCGTAGCACCCAAGCATTGTTAAAAAAGCAAACTTTTTCAATTAATTAAAAATTATCATTATAATATAAAATAAAATATTATCAATATTTATATTATATTAACAGGTATGGTGTCTGCCTCGCATGAGGCTGACACGGGGTTCAATTTCTTCATCCCTCTTGGATAGCCCTGGAGTATCCTGCCCACATGGCAGAGCCTGGGAAGCTCCCCGTGGCATATGTGATATGCCAAAAACAGTCACAACAAGTCTCACAATGGAGACGTTATCGGTGCCTGTTCCAGCAAATCGATGCACAATGGGAGGACAGTGCTACAGTATGTCATTATGATATAATATAAAATATTATCAAAACATTATAATAAATATATTATTTTAAATATTTTTATTATTCAAGTAAAATTAAAACATTCTATTTTAAATATTATTATCAAAAGATTTGCTTGAGCGGGCCCAGTAACGTCTCCATTGGAGACTTTGTTGTTACTGTGTTTGGCATATCGAATACGTCACGGGGAGCTTGCCAGGCTCTGCCGTGCGGGCGAGATACTCTCGGTAGCTTGCTGGGCTCTCCGAGAGGGGCGGAGGAATCGAACTCGGGTTGGCCATGCTGCTCGCACAGCCGTAGGGCGTTTGCCTTGCATGCAGCCAACATGGCCGCCCCGAGTTCTATTCCTCCGCCCCTCCTGGAGAGCCCGGCAAGCTACCGAGAGTATCTCGCCCGCACGGCAGAGCCTGGCAAGCTCCCCGTGACGTATTCGATATGCCAAACACAGTAACAACGAAGTCTCCAATGGAGATGTTACTGGGCCCGCTCGAGCAAATCGATGATCAACGGGAGGGCCTTTACTTTTACTTACTTTTATCAAAAGATTATTATTTAAAGCATCATTTTATAAATACATCAACTATGTTATTATCAAATTTAGAATATGATATTGTGATGTTAAATAATTATTAATAATGTATAATTAGTATTAAATAATGTTGTTTAAAATATTACTGATGATTATTTCTATTTTATAGATAACCCAGCTTAGTGCTGGGGGTAGCTTCCAGCAGTACGTGGTAGGGGGAGCTAAACGTGGGGCCCTGAATGACAAAGCAGTACTCAGTCCTTTGGAGCAGCTCCATGAATGAGCCAGATTTGCCTATGGAAGAAACACCCAGATGTCCTGGTGACGATGTGACTTGGACAGCCTCCTACACGGAAGGGAAGCTTCTGGTTGTCTCTCTCCAAACACACACTGGGACGACCGAAACAGGCTACTGAACGGGAGGACAGCCCTGGTGGTGCCCGGGGGCCCTGTGGGAGGCTCCTGAGCCCAGAGAGACGCTGCTGCCCAAGCGGCAGGAGCCAGGGCCACCTAACGGCAGAGATGACGCCCCGCCTCAGGCCAAGGCTCCAGCCTGAGGCAGCTTCGCCCGCAGTGCTCACTGCTGGGGTGTGGAGGAAGGAAAGCCACCACCCAACTACAGACAGTACTGCAGTTTCACGTGGTCCAAGGGGCATCTACTGCGAGTCGCTGATGGTCGTGGTGACCCGCGGCTTCGGAGCTGCACCCTTTCCCCATTTGTGTGCGCATGCATTTGTGTGCGGGTGCGTGTGCGTGCATGTGTGTGTGTGTGTATGTATTTGTGTGCGGGTGCATGTGTGTGTGTGTATTTGTGTGTGGGTGCATTTGTGTGTGCGTGCATTTGTGTCTTTGCGTGGGTTTGTGCACACGTGCATTTGTGTGCGTGTGCATGTGTGTGCGGGTGTGTTTGTGCATGCGTGAGTTTGTGCACGTGTGCATCTGGGCGCACAGGCATGCGTTTGTGTGTCCCAGCGCATCTGCGCCTGCACGCACTGGGAGTCACACAGCCACTTCAGTTGCGGCGGCCGCTCTGCTCACCTGGGACACTGGTCATTGGGGGTGACGCTGCCGGCCAGACTCAGCTCGGGGACCAGCAGGGGCTCCCCGGGCCTCCTCCTGGTCTGTGCGGCTCGCTCCCGGGCCTGCTGCTCCACCGCTGTCCGGTCCACGGGCTCCGGTGGAACAGGCTTCACCGGCTCCTCCTCGGAATGTGGCTCCTCCTCCTCCTCTCCCTCCTCCTCCGCTTCCTCCTCCTCCTCCTCCTCCTCCTCAGCCTCCAGAGCTTCGTCCCCCGCTTGTTTCTTCTTCCTCTTCTTCCTCTTCTTCTTCTTAGCTCTCTACGAGGCAAGAGGCAGCTTAGCCAAGTGGTGGAGGTGGAGCTGGAGAAGTTTGGCCTACAGAATCCAACAGCCAGGTGCAAAGCCAGCTCCACTCCCAGCCGGGGTGCAGGACGTCCCCCACCCCCGCCCCCCCAAGCCCTTCCCAGGCCTCAGTGTGTCATCCACAAAATGGGACGGTCATGGGAAACTCCACACAGAGCTGCCTCTTTTTTTTTCTGCTTTTGGGTCACACCTGGTGATGCTCCGGGGTTTCTCCTGGCTCTGCACTCAGAAATTACTTCTTGCAGTGCTTGGGGGACCATATGGGATGCCACGGATTGCCTTGCCCCAGTTAACCAGGAGCAAGGCAACTGCCCTCCCCGCTGTGCTATGGATCTGCCCCACAGCTGCCTCATTCTTGTGAACACCCCACAAGTATCCGTGTTACCACACGAGTCCTCCAGACAGCGGCATGTGTGGCTAGGAAAGCCACACGGCTGATCATCCAGGGTCCTCCTGCAGGTGACCCGCCTCTGCCTATTGTCAGGGGTTCCACAGTGCAGGGAGGGGGTAGACAGCTGGTTGACTTTCCTGTGGGCATCCCTTAGCACCCACCCCCGCATTCCATGGGGCAGCGCTCCTCACCACCACAGATAGCCCATGAGGGACCCCCAGAACCTGTGCATGGAGCGAGAGGCTGCTTTTCCCTTACTGGTTCTGTCGCTCCTCCGTGGTGTCCCTGAGTCCGGGTTGAGCTGGACACCGGCAGAGGCAGCAGCATGGGGTATCCTGCCCCTCCCCCACACCCCCCTCCCCCGTCAGGGGCTGACCGCACAGAGATGCTCAGGAATTACTCCTGGCGGTGCTCAGGGGACCCATATGGGATGCCAGGGGTCAAACCCGGATCGGCGCGTGCAAGGCAAACTCCCTCCTCGCGGTGCTATCGCTCCAGCCCGGCACCTGGGCCTTCTTCCAGGCTCTCCACCGCTGCTGCATGGCGCGGAACTCGGCCAGCTCAGCTTCGTACTGGGCCGTGCGCTCCTCCAGCCGCTCGCTGATCTCGGCGCGGAGCTCCGCTTCATAGGCGTCTTGGTCGGCTCTCTGATCGACTTTCTCCCTGGACAGGGTCAGGGACAGGGACAGAGAGACAGCACAGAAGGTCAGGCCCTGGCCTTGCCCACCCCCATCTGGGTTGGGTCCCCGAGCATCGCCAGGAGCGGTCCCTGAGCACAGAGCCGGGAGTACGACCTGGAAATCTCTGCATGTGCTCCCCAACATAAAGGGGTTTCCTTCTAAAAAGTAAATAAAGTAGGGGCCAGGGCCATAGTTCAGGGGGTAGAGGGCTTGCCTTGTACCCGGCTGACCCAGGTTCGATCCCCAGCAAGGCATAGGGTCCCCTGAGCCCGGTCAGGAGTGATTGATTCTCTGAGTGCACAGCCAGGAGACCCCTGAGCACCACCAGCTACGGCCCAGAAACTTGGGGAAAAAAAAAAAAGCAATGCATAGTCAAATAATGCAGAGTCTCTTAGTCACGTGTGGAAATCCAGCAAAGACCAATACTCACAGTAAATACCCCTCTTGGCCTTGCTCCGGGCCAGAACCTCCTCTAAAAGCTTCGGAGTTTACCTCACTGCCCCCAGGTACCTAGGATCATCATTTGCATTTTGTGCTGGAAGTGACAGGGGCCCAGAGAGGTTAAGTAATCTGTCTGTGAACACACAGCTGGGCGAGGGAAGGCTGGAGTGTGACACCCCCAGGTTAGCTGCTAAGTTGGTTTCCTGACTGAAACAAGCAACACAGATTTCCTGACTGCAAATTCTCAACCATTTAGAAGCTTCACTTGCCGCTTCATTACTCCTTCCTGGGGGCACTTTGTCCTGTTGCTACAGAGGCCCAGGAAGAATTTTTTTAAAATTTTTATTAGTGAGACACCATGAGGTACAGTTGTAGACTTACAAATTTTTGTGCTTGGGTTTCAGTTATACAATGATCAAATACCCCTCCCTCCACCAGTGCCCATTTCCCACCACCACGGATCCCAGTATCCCCCCCCCCCTCTGTGGCAGGGCACTCCCTTTTGTTCTCTCTCTCCTTTTGGGTGTTGTGGTTTGCAAAAGAGGCACCGAGTGGCAATCATGTTTGGTCTGTAGTCTACTTTCAGCACGCTTCTCCCACTGGTATTTGGATTCCTCTGCAGATCCTTCATCAGGAGATGCACCTGATGAGAACGTTTTCCAGAGTGTTCTGTTAGTTCTTCTTCCAGACGGGAAGTTAGTGACTTCCCTTCTGGCCAAGCCCATGGGAATGAAAGCAAATGAGTATGCTCCCCTGGTCTTCCAAGTCCTTTCTATTCATTGGCAGCATCTCCCTCCAGGGGAGACTCCGTCCAGGAGTGATCCCCAGTGCAGAGTCCTGAGCACAGCCGGATATGACTCAAAAACCAAACCAAAAGAACAAAACCCAGTTTGCAAACTTGAGGGTGAATATCTTATTAATTTTAGAAAGGGAGGGAGGAAGAGAGAAAGGATGGAGGGAAGAAGGGAGGAAGGAAGGAAGGAAGGAAGGAAGGAAGGAAGGAGAGAGGGAGGGAGGGAAGGAGGGAGAAAAGAATCTGGTAAAAACAATAACAGCAACAACGAAAACTTTCTTTGGGTGGGAGGAGAAACCTGGAGACAGAATGTGGAAAGTGAAACCTTGGAATTTCTGGAGACAGCCAGTTTCTGCAGACAGACTGTGATTTTGTCTTTGATCCGAGTTGACACTAAGTGCAGGTACCCACTGTGGATGACTTCCCTGGCTATAAGTCCCCGCTCCAGAGAGTACATGGTCTTTGGAAAACCATGGAACACTTTGGCTCTGCACTCAGGAATTACTCCTGGAAGTGCCCAGGGGACCACACAGGATGCCAGGGGTCTAGCCCAGGTCGGCTGCATGCAAGACAAACACCCTCACCACTGTACTATTGCTCCAGGACCCTTCACTCTTCTATCTTTCTAAAGATAAAAGTTTCTAGCTATCAAAAAATAGCCAAAAGAGCGTGTGAAGGGGAGAAGGTATTACTACACAGAATCTCAAAGAGCCTCTGGCTTAGGAGATAAGAGAAGTTCCCACAAATGATGAGAGAGGTGATAAGACCAACAATCCAGTTAAAAGTCAGCACCCAGTGGATCCTTCCTAAAAGAGGAAATAAAAACGTGCGGGTCCTGTACAGGAAATCCACATCAAAACGCACCATCAGAAGAAAAAAAAAATTAGGAGGAGGCAGATGTCCCAGGTAGGGGGGGGTCACACCAGCAGTGTCGGGCCACCAGAGCTCGTGGGTGGTGCTGAAAATCGCCCAGACCTCACACCAGCCATGCACTCTGGCCTCCGAGCTATCTCCTGGGGCGCACGTGTCGGGGAGGAGAAGATCGTCCCATTTTCTTTGCTATCGATATCTGTCAACATCAGGCTATGGGGACAACATAGGAAACTGGCATGAGTTTAATCCAACCACCCGCCTGGGTAGAGGTTTGGAGTCACGAGGGTGAGTGGGGGCAGTGCATCTTCCACCTCCACAAGTCTGCCTCTGGATTTATTTCTGGGAAACGCAGGTCTACGAGCCCTAAGAGGTAGGCAGAGGCCTAGAAGGGCTGCGTAGACAGTAGGAAACTGATGCTTCTCAGCAGTGAAACAAATGCATAATGATCATAGCCTGAAAGGAAACACCCGGGAGCAAAGGAGAGAAACCACAGTGGCTTCCGCCTCTCACCCAGTGCCAAGAAGAGAAATGACTGGCATTCACTCCACAGCTGGGTGCCGCCTCTCACCCAGTCCTGCCGAGAAGACAAACAATGGGCACTCAGTAGGAAAAGCGGTACGTGTGAGCACTCAAAGAGAAACACAGGCCCGAGCAAGCATCTGTCTCGCAAAGACATGCAGACAACGCTAATCTAGCCCATTGCTTGGGGGACAGAAGGACGCCATTGGGACTAGAGGCGCAGGGCTTCCATTTATTAGTGATAATCCTATAAAACAGAATTATCACAAATAATTCTGTTCTCTCCAGCAGTGCCAGGGAGAGAAAGGAGAGCGCCGCCCATGCTAGGGCATTTGCACTATCCCTTCTATGTCTGGCCCTAGAATTTTATTTTATTTTAATTTTTAGTGGTATTGGCTTTGGATGACCCCGACAGTGTTCAGGAGCAAATCCTGGCATGGTGCTCTGAAGTCACTAACTGCAATGCTCAGGGTATCACGAGATGGTGGGACCTGAATTCAGGGCTCCTGTCCCCCTCCTCCCTCACTTAAGGCAAATGCTCTACCACCGGGCCAAATCCCTAACCGTGTTATTTTATAAATCGATATCTATGCTTTATACATTTTTCTCTACATATGATAAAGCCTCATTTAAAAAAAATGCTTTTGTTTAAAAAATGCTCACTTTCTCAAAACAAGTTTCAAGGGTGTGTTGGTAAATCTCTGGAACTCTCGAAGGGATTTCATCTCTTTCCAGACTTTGATGATGGTCTTCAGTAGTGTTCGATCTTTTTCTTGCTCAGCATCACGCAGTTTTCTTGTTTGCCTGGAAAATAAATAGACAAGGATATAAGGAAAAGTCATCTTGTATGCTTACATCCAAGTAAGAATGTAAACTAATACAGCTATACCAAAGCATATCTTGAGGGGGGTGGATGAAGGGCAATACCCAGAGGTTATTGGGGGCTATTCCTGGCTCAGTGTTTAGGAATGACCCTTGGAGGTACTTGTGAGTCACATGGTTCCAGGGATCAAGGCAGGAGTGGTGGCACATAAAGGAAATGGCTGAACCCCAATAGCATCTCTCCAGGCAATGACATGATTTCACAGTAATAGTAGAAAAACAAAAATATATGAAAGCAAACTTGAAGAGGATGCCAATCTATTCTGAGAAGTTTGATTTTGTTTTCCTTCCCCAGGTGAATCTGGCTTAGCTACAATAAATAACCGTTTACACTTCTTATTAAAATCTTGCATCCTAAAATAGTCACCTTTGATGTTATGAAAATAAGGGGTCCGGTAAGCACAGTTCTCAAAGGCTAAGTTACTGGGAATGTAAGAAAGTTCGTTGTACTTCCATTTACCACCAAATATAATGAGTTTTTGTTCATGCAAATCCCAGCTAAAGGAATGTTACTGAAGTCTTCGCAAGTTTTTTTTTAAAGAAAAGTATGAAAAAAATATAATAATGAAAAAAGAGACAGTCCTCAAAAATGCTTTTGTTTTCACTTTTATGAGCAAATGTTTGGACTAATGATTAGTGCCTTAAATTACTTTCTGTAACAAAAGAGCCAATTCAGATCCCAGATGTTCGATACTGATTAATTTGACAACTATGTATTTCTTGAGCAAGTTTAGGCCTCCACTCAGCGGGCTCAGAAGTGTTGGGAGACAGGCGCCAGCCTCCCATCAGGGAGATGAGAGTTGAGGTGTCCTGGGTCACCGATCACAGCCCTGCGAGCAGACGGCCGGAGGTTCCTCCCAGCTGGAACTTTCATTCTGGGAGGGCGGTGTGAGGCCGACACAGTGTCCGGGATGACGGAGTCCTTGGAAACTGTGCAAAGAAGCACCAGCAGGAAGGAATCCCGAGAAGACTGACCATTCTTCTGGAGGAGCAAGGGCCGGGCTGGTGGCTCAGGACTTAGCCTAAGCACAGCCTGGGGGCAGGCAAAGACCCTCAAAATCTTGGATCTGATGCTAGTGCCTGATGGGACAAGAAGAGATGCTTCTCACCGGCTGCCTAGTCCATTTGCCTGTGTGGTAGAGTCTACGTGTGGTGTTATAAATGCCCAAATGGCCTTTGGCAGAAACACGGTTCCCCACCTCTGGCTGAGATATGGGTGCCACACCTCTCAGCTTTGTGTCCTGGTTTTCTCACTAGCCAGGCTTAGGCAAAGCCCCCAACTTCCCCACGCCCCACCTGTAAACGCTGGCTGCAACTACACGTGACAAAGTGCAATTTAAACAATAGAACATAGGAATAATACATGGGCCTGGAGAGACAGGGCTGTACTATCCAGTCTCGGTTGGATTCCCGGTATCCCACGTGGTACCTCAAACACCACTAGTAGAGATCCTGAGTACAGAGTCAAGAGTAAGTGCTGGGCACCACAGGGAGTGCCCCTCCCCCCAAACAAAACAAGCTAACATAGGAATAATACAAACATCTTTCACTAGAGGACTCTAAGAGCTAGATAACACCGTTTTAAAAACAATGGTTAAGAGTGAGCTACCATGTTACAAGAAAAGGCTGGATGAAGCATACTGTATACAAAAACAAGCTGTGAGATGATGAATGTAACATAACTCCTTTAAAAAAGTAAGGGGAGGGGGTATGGTGCCGCCAGCAGGTCAATCTGTACCTGTGAGGCGAGTGCATCAGCAGCCTGATGGCTCCTTCAGACTTCCAGATACCCCGAAATTGCTGAGGCCAAAAACTTGGGGCAAAGTTTACCAAGAAAGTAAACGGCCAAAAGTTAGGTATGTGAGAAACACACCCACAAACCACCTCCGGCTCAGCTATATAATTGAAGGCATGACCTCTCTGGTTCCTGATTGAAATGCTTAATGGCCATGAACCCAGAGACTCAGAAACAAATCTCGAAACCCAGTGGCTTTTGGCAGAAATGCGTCCGGACCCCACAGTAGTTTACTGTCACCAGGCCACCCTAGGAGGGAAAGGGTCTTGTCCCTCCGCCTGCTCCACCTTGGCGGCTCGGTGGCCATCATCCTCCAGAGGCCACTGTACAGTCAGGTTTGGGCCCACAGTGATGCGACACACAGGGCCTCACGGGATGGGGGTAGAGCCAGTCCTGTCCTCCCCAGCCCAACGAGACCCTAAGTCTTCACCCACGAACGGCCTTTCTGGCTCCTGATCAAGCTGCTTAACAGCCATGATCCCAGAGACTCAGGAGCAAATCTCGGAACCTAACAGTTTTTGGCAGAAATCCCTCCAGATTTAAATGTTGAAATTTCAGAATTTCAAAGTCATGAAGCCACTACTGTAGCCATGCAACATCATATGTTATTCATAACCAGCAATAGAAAACAAATTGTCTACTGTTGCCTTTTCAGCAAATCTGAGTGTTGGGGTAAAACCTCAAATAATAATGGTGGGTCTGGTGTCGAAATATTGAATGTGATCAAAGTAGAGAGAGTAATGTGGAAATCATCTGCCCCACAGGTAGGGGGAGGGTGTGGGATGGGGAGGTATACTGGGGGTTTTGGTGGTGGGCACTGGTGAAGGGACGGGTGTTTCATTGTATGTCCAAGACTTAGACCCGAAAGCTTTGTAACTGCTCTCATGGTGATTCAATAAATAAAATGATAAAAAATGAAAAAAAATGTAAGGTGGAGTTCATGCCCAATTCAATCAGCCAATCAGTGGCTGAATAAAGAGCAGTATTCCTACAAAAAAAATTAAAAAGTGAGGGGGCTGGAGCGATAGTGCAGCGGGTAGGGCATTTGCCTTGCACGTGGTGGACCTGGGTTCGATTCCCAGAATCCCATATGGTCCTCCGAGTACTGCCAGGAGTGATCCCTGAGTGCAGAGCCGGGAGTAACCCCTGAGCATCGCCTGGTATAACCCAAAATGAAAATAAATAAATAAATAATAAAAAAGTGAAACTCACTTTTTTTAAAACAGTGAAACTCGGAGCGAGCCCAGCCGGAGAAGGGAGGGAGGAGAGCGCGGACCCCCAGCGACCCCAAGCCCCAGCGCGCGTCCAGATCCAGAGCAGCGCGCCTGGCAGCACACCGGCCCCTCCCATCCAGGTGGGTTGGAGGACCCGAGCGGAGCCCCACCCCTGAACCCGGACGCGCGGCCCGCGGAGCGAGCCCAGCCGGAGAACAGCGCGGATCCCAGGATCCTGGGAGGGAGTGGCCTGGGATTGTCTAGGGGCGTGGCCTCTAAGAAGGGGGCGTGGCCTAAAAGTGGGCGTGGCCTACTTCCGGGCGGGCGGCCGTGGCCGCAGGTATATCACTCACTTCAATCAACTTAGACCTGCATCCTTTCATCCTTCTCATCAACTTGTTACCTAATACCAAACAAAATTTCTCACCTCTTCTACTACAATTCAACAAAATCCCACTCGCCTACTCCATTTCCAACAAAAGTTCAGTTCGAAAACAGCTATACAAGTTCAGTAGTAAATAGTAACGCCTCCAAAAATTTCACTCAATGTCAGTTATAAAACAAAGAATAACGCCTGATTGAGAAGAAGGTCAGACTCAGAAAGGTAAAGAGGCGCATCTAGCAGCAACAAAGCTGGACGGCTCCTGGCAGCCTCTCCTCACTCAACTAGAACAGTAGCAGCAAGTGTGACGGACCAAACCACACTGGTCACAATGGTAAAGCAACGCAAAAGCCCACCAAACTTTCTTATTCACGAGGCTAGCCCAGACGACACCAACAGTACTTACTATAGCGATAGACAACCTCTCTGACAAGGAATTCAGAATGGAGCTACTCAGGATGCTTAGGGAACTAAAAGAAACAATGGAAACCAATGCCAATAAAAGACAAGAAGATTTGAAGGCAGAAATGAGGAAAATGCAATCGGAAATGTCGGACCTGAAAAACCTGGTAGCCGAATTGAAAACCTCAGTGGAAGGCCTCAGCAGCAGAGTAACAGCGGCTGAGAACAGAATCAGTGAGCTCGAAGATCAAGTTCAGAGTCTTGTCAGAAAAGAGCAGAAAATGGAAAAGAGACTCACAGTTCGAGAACAGATGGCAAGAGAAGATCGTGATGAAGCCAAGAGGGGTAACATAAGAATTATTGGAGTCCCAGAGGGACGGGAAGAAAACCTTGATGAAGAAGAAACTGTCAAAGAAATCATTGCTACAGCGTTTCCAGAGCTGAAGAAAACTTGTGACCACATCCAGGAGGCCCGAAGGGTACCGGCTAGAAGAAATCCGAATAAAAATACCCCAAGACACATCCTGATCAAAATGACCAAAACTTTAGACAGAGACAAAATTCTGAAAGCAGCAAGATCGAAGAAAGAAATCTCTTACAAAGGAGCATCCTTAAAATTCACTGCTGATTTTTCTGATGAAACCCTCAGGGCCCGAAAACAGTGGTGGGACATAGTGAAAAAACTCAATGAAATAAATGCTTCTCCAAAAATACTTTACCCAGCGAGACTCTCATTCATAATAGAAGGAACAACACACAGTTTCACGGACAAACAACAGCTCAGGAACTTCATAGACTCAAAACCATGGTTACAAGTACAACTAAATGGGCTACTTTAAGGCAAGACAGACCTCTCAAATACACCAAATTTCAACAGAACAATGGGACAAAATCCCATAACAATAATCTCTCTCAATGTCAATGGGCTAAACGCACCAATTAAAAGACATAGAGTGGCAGGATGGATTAGAAAATTGAACCCAACATTCTGCTGCCTGCAAGAAACACATCTCAATAGTCAAAGCAAACACAGACTCAGAGTCAAAGGCTGGAAAACAATCCTACAGGCAAACAGCTCCCATAAAAAAGCTGGGGTAGTCACCTTAATATCAGACCACATTGATTTCAG